TTGCGGATCTAATGTTCTTGAATATAGCGTATTCAGGCTGATGTAGTACGATCCGATATCCTCCGTGTCCAGCGGCGCGAAAAAGATCAGTTGAAGGTACATGGCTTCCGGGAGGTCGTACCTTTGTCGTCCTTGTATTTGAGACCTGCCTGAAAAGGGTTCTGGCCGACGTTCCGTTTTCGTGCATGAACTGCTTGGTCAGGGTAATCCGAGCGGCGGACGAACCTGCTGGAACAATTCCGAGGTGACGCCTACGGCGGCCATGATCTCGCCATTTCGATGTCGAGGGTTTTGTTGGCTTCGGTAATCTCGGCGTAATCGGAAACCTTCAGGTAATGGCAGGCGCGATGCACCGTGTCTGGTAAACTTTCACGAGAGCCGTTTTCAACACGTGGTTGGTCGTATCGTTCCGGTCCGTTAGGTAGATGTTTATATCGACCGTACGAAGGCTTCGTCGGTTTCGGGAAGTCGAGTCCGATCGGTTCCATCGTCCAGGTCGCGTTGTCTTTGTCGGTCAGAAAAAATATCCGGCGAATTCGCCTCCGAGCTTGCAACTGTCGACGATCGCGTCCTCCATGTCGAATTTCGTAGCGCTGCCTCCGAAATGGCGCACGGCAGCAATCGTACGGAAGTGGCGATCGGCGTGTTGTTCAGTTCGACGTAGGATACGGCCGGCGAAACGTCGATGTCTACCATGTCCCCGGTCATTTGATCCGCGTGTTCAGATTTCCGAAAGTCGCGGACGTCAGCGCCACGCGCCGGTTGTCCGCATCGGTATAATTTAGCACCAGCGTGAAGTCGATGTCGCCGTAGTAGGCGCCGTCGAGAATTTCGATCTCGGCGATCCACTGTCCTTCGCAGGTCTCTCCGGCCTGGTTTTTATAAGGCGTTACGCCGACCAGCGAACATTCGGGAATGGTCGTGACGTACGAGGCTTTGGTGATCTGCGAACGGATGGCGTCCAGTCGGAGGTCTTCCGCCTGGACGATATAATTCGATGGGTTGACCCGAAGGGCACTTTCAGCGTCGATCCGTTCAGGACGGTGATTTCGGACTGTAGCAGCGTGATGCCGGTCGGGTAGGGCCGTTTCAGCGTATCGATGTCGTCTTTCATCTCCTTGCATCCCGGAAGAACGGCGGTCAGCAGGGCTATTCCGCAATATAACAAAGCTTTTTTCATAGTGGTCAAATGAATTACCTGATGCGATCCAGGGATCGTACCAGTTTGTCGTCTTTAACGATTCCCCGGCGAGCGAGCAGGGTCAGGATCGCAGCGACGAGGGGAAAGGCCGCGGTCACCGACAGCGCTACGGGGCCGAAGCCTTCTTCGCCGAACGACTTCAGGTAGAGCGCCGTCACGCCGGCCGTCAGCAACAACAGTACGATTTGCGCCGTGCACAAGCGCTTTTGGAGCCTGCGTTTTTTGTAGCGAAAACGGTGATTATCTCCAGCACGATCGTTGCGCCCAGCAGCGTCGTGGCTGCGAGAGTCAGCGAGTTGACGATCGGACTGCTGCTGGCCGTCGGGTCGTCGTATCCCCAGACCATGATCCGGAAAACCGAGTTTTCCGGGCCGATCGCATGGGCCAGCGGCAGGAAGAACATCAGCCCAGCAGCAGCGCCGACAGGAGCAGGTATACGGTTTGAATGCGTTGTATCATTGTGAAACGGATTTGTTTTGAAGTTTTTCATCGATCAGGTAGCGGTTCCTGTCCCCGGAATTCCGGCTGATCAGTTCCCCGATGAAACCCGCCAGGAACAGTTGTACGCCGATGACGACGGCCCCCATCGCTATATAGAACAGCGGTTGATCGGTCGCGCCGCGCACCGGAATCAGGTGCGCCTGTTTATACAGTTTTTCGGCGATGACCCATACGGTCGTCGCGCCGCCGACCAGGAACATCAGCGTGCCCATCCGCCGAAGAAGTACATCGGACTTTTGCCGAAGCGGGTCATGAACAGGACGGTGATCAGGTCGAGATATCCTTGATCATCCGTTCCCATCCGAATTTCGACACCCCGTACTTCCGGGCCCGGTGATGCACGACCTTTTCGCCGATTCGTTTGAAACCGGCTTGCTTGGCCAGGAACGGGATGAACCGGTGCATTTCGCCGTAAACCTCGATGCTTTTGACCACCTGGTTGCGGTAGGCTTTCAGGCCGCAGTTGAAGTCGTGCAGCTTGATTCCGGAAGCCAGTCGCGCCGTGCCGTTGAAGAATTTACTCGGCAGCGTCTTCCCGACCGGATCGAACCGGCGCTTTTTCCATCCGCTGACCAGGTCGTATCCCTCTTCGGTAACCATCCGGTACAGTTCCGGGATTTCGTCCGGCGAGTCCTGCAGATCGGCGTCCATCGTGATCACGACGTCGCCCCGGGCCGCTTCGAAGCCGCAGTAGAGTCCGGCCGATTTCCCGTAATTGCGCCTGAACCGGATGGCCCGGACGCACGGATTGGCGTCGTGCAGCGAGCGGATCACTTCCACGAGCGGTCGTTGCTGCCGTCGTCCACGAAGATGACTTCGTACGAGAAGCGGTTCTCCGCCATCACCCGCTCGATCCATGCGAGCAATTCGGGCAACGATTCCTCCTCGTTGTACAGCGGGACGACTATCGAGATGTTCGGATTGTTTCTAACATCGTGCTGTTGTTTTTATTCGGATTGCGGGGGCGTCGTGCCGTTTTGTCCGTTGTTCGCACCGGCGAACGGGTCGCCGTGGCGTTTGACGAACAACGATACGATCAGGCCGAGCAGTCCGCCGTAAATAATCATCGTACCCACGCCGCTGAACACGACGAAGAGCGGGTTCCCCATCATTCTCGCCGCGATCGTACCGGCCGACTCGACCGCTTTCTCGTCCCATCCGTTTTCCACGTAGGTCGCGATCGCCAGGTCCATCTGTTGCCGGAAAAATTCCGGGTCGATCCATTTGTAAAGCACGAACATGCCCAGTCCGCCGAGAATCCCGGCGAACAGCGACATCCGCAGGACGAAGGCCATGCTTTGGCCGAACGAAAAGCCGGCGGCTCCGCGCAGGGCCGCCATCCGGCTCGAATAGAAATAGAGAAATCCGGCGATCGAAAAGAAGCCCAGCGCGCCCGCCAGCGATGCGACGCCCGTATGCGAGCGCATCAGGTGACCGGCGATCGCAAGGATCGCATAGGTCAGGCCCATGTAGAACCCGCCGGTCGCCGCCTCCCTCCATGCAATGCTATTGAATGATTTTTCCATCGTAACGATTTTCTGATTGTCGGTTTAAACGAGGTTGCCGATGCCTTCGCGCAGGATCGAGATGTCGTCCGGGTCGGTGCAGTCGACCACCGTCGTCGGGACGTGGTTGCCGTATCCGCCGTCGATCACCGCATCCACCAGTGTTCCGTAACGCTCGTAGATCAGCGACGGGTCGGTCGTGTACTCCTCTTCCCGGCTGTCTTTGACCGAGGCCGTGACCATCGGATTGCCCAGCGCTTCGACCAGCGCGATCGGAATGCCGTTATCCGGAATACGTATCCCCACCGTTTTTTTCTTTTCCAGGAATTTGTCCGGAATTTTTCCCGATGCGTTGAGGATGAAGGTAAACGGGCCGGGCAGGTTGCGTTTCAGCAGTTTGAAGACCGTGTTGTCCACCTTGGCGTATGCCGCGACTACGCTCAGGTCGGGGCAGATGATCGAAAGTCGGGGCCCGTTTTACCGGTGATCGCGCGGATCCGCTCGATGGCCTTGGTGCTTTTCAGCGAGCAGCCGAACGCGTAGACGCTGTCGGTCGGATAGATGATCACGCCGTCGCGTGCGAGGATGTCCGCCGCCTGCGCGACGGATTTCTCATTCGGGTTTTGCGGATAGATTTTGATGATCATAACCCTGTGTCGTTTTGTCGTGACGGTCGAAATAAAAAATGGGTAAGCTACTTATATCGCACCGCTACAACCGCCTACCCTTGCTGTCTTCCGACCCTGGGGGATTCAGCAGGAGCTGGTCGTATAAGACTTACCCAGGGACAAAATTAAACAATTTCGCTATATTTGCAAAAATATTTTTCCGGATGAAGCGAAAAGGAAAGTATTACCTGCTTGCCGCGTTTGCGGCGCTTGCGGTAACGGTTTGTGTCGGTGGTTATTCCGCATGGCAATACTTTTGGGGCGGGGCGGTGGCCCGCGACGCGGTCGTGCTGGTTCCTACCGGCAGCGATTTCGACCGGCTGACCGATTCGCTGCGGCGCAGCGGCGCGTTGCGCAACGTACGCAAATTCGTGCGGATAGCGCGTATACGCGGTCTGGACGAGACCGTTCGTCCGGGACGTTACAAGCTCGACGCGGGGATGACCTACGCCGCGCTGATCGACCGACTGAAGCAAGGGCTTCAGGCTCCGGTACGGGTTACTTTCAACAATGTCCGGACGCTCGACCGGTTGGCCGGCAGCGTCGGCCGGCGGCTGGAAACCGATTCGGCGACGCTTGCGCGGGCGCTGCTGAGCGATTCTACGGCCCGCGCATACGGATACGCGCCGCAGACCTTCATCGGGATGTTCATTCCGAATACTTACGAAATGTATTGGAACAGTTCGGCGGATGATTTTATTCGGCGAATGAAGAAAGAGTCCGACCGGTTCTGGAAAAACCGCGATGCGAAACTCGCCCGCACGGGCCTCTCCCGCGACGGGGCGATGACCCTCGCTTCGATCGTTACGAGGAGACCAAGCGCAAGGACGAAATGCCCGTCGTGGCGGGGGTTTATATCAACCGGCTGAAGCGCGGTATGCCGCTGCAGGCCGATCCGACGGTCAAGTTCGCTGTCGGCGATTTCTCGATCAAACGCGTCCTGCATACCCACCTGGCCGTCGATTCCCCGTACAATACTTATAAATACCCGGGCTTGCCGCCGGGGCCGATCTGTATGCCGTCGATCGCCGCGATCGATGCCGTGCTCGACTACGCCGACCACGACTACCTCTATTTCTGCGCCAAGGACGACTTGTCCGGCGCCCATAATTTCGCAAAGACCCTGTCCGAGCACAACCGCAACGCGGCGGCCTATGTTGGGCGCTGAACAGGCTGAAAATCAAATAGATCGTTTAGCTGGCTCCGTTTTTCGGGGCGGGGCTAACGGAATTGCAGACTGCTCCGCCCATGTCCCGCGACGTCGCCACGGCGATGCCGCGCCGATCGTGGCCGTTGACCGCGCAGTAGAAGTGGTATACCACTCCTTTATATTTCACTACGAACGATTTGTGGGCGAAAGGTTGTCGTAGGATTCGGACGGGACGATCAGATCGTCGCCCGTCCAGTCCGTCCAGTGGGCCAGATCGTACGAACAGGCGAAACGATTGAAAGCCGCATACGGTTTCCCTTTCCAGAATGCGCCGAAGTAGAACATGACGTACAGGTCGCCCATCTTCTGGATCTGCGCGTCTCCGGTGATCCCTTCGGGATGTTCCAGCACCGGTCGGTCGGAGTAACGCCGCCAGGTTTTCAGGTCGTCCGACAACGCGATCCCGATACTTTCTTTGCCGTCCGCGCTTCCTTTGGCATTGTAATACATGACGAACGGGGCGCCGAGCAGCCGTTTCGGGGCCCGGATCACCGAACTTTTGTACAGCGTGTAGCGCTCCCATGGCCCGGCGTCCGGATCGGCGGGCGTCATGACCGGAGCGTCGAAGCCTTCCCATTCGTGGGCCGGGCGATCTTCCCGCCGGTGGCGGGCCATGCCTACGTTCAACATGCCGGCTTCGTATCCCTGCGTGGCTCCGCCGATGTAGGACAGCCATAGCGGCCGTCGTATTTTCCGGCTCGGTAGCTGCCGCCCCAGCGGTAGTCCTGCAACGCGAGGTATCCCCCGCGCTGGGCAGAATCCCAGCTTCCCCCGGCAAACGACAGGATCGGTCCGAGCGTGTTCCATTTCAGTAGGTCGTCGCTTTCGGCAGCCAAGTCTCGTACCCCGTGCTGTCGAACAACACGTAGGTCATGTACCACTTGCCTTTTTCGCGGAACACGGTCGGGGAGTCCACCATGTCTTCGTCCCGTTCCGGAACCAGGACGAGTCCGTATTTGTAAGGCGTCTTTACCGTTTCGTAAACTTTTTTCATCGTTTCCTGCGGAACGCTTTGCTGCGCCGTCGCGGTTGCAGGAACGACAGGGCGGCCGCTAATGCCAGCCCGGCGGGGATACGTCGTTTCATAGGTCGTAATATGGATGGATTTGCTGGTTTATCAAGTGCGGTACGGGGCAAGCCGTGTTCCGGTTCCGTAAAGTTAGCATATTTTTTATACCTTAATCAAATAAAGGACAGCTCGGCGCCGTTCTTTTATTTTTTCTTTGAAGTCTTATCGGAATATCCTGATTGGCTATATTGTCAAAAAATCCGGGATGTTTTGCTGCCTATCTGTCAGCGTTTTATGGGCAAAAATTATTGTCATTCGAATGTCGGACTTTATTTTGATGAAAATCAAAGTATTAATCGCGCGTCGAAAGTCGTCGGACAATAAAAATGTTTGGCCATTACATGAATAATTGTTATGTTTGCGCTGATAAAATACCGTTTCGTACGTTGAAAGCGGGTTTTTCGGGTTTACGGCATTCGCACCTGGGTCAGGCGCAGAGCCGCGTTCCGGAATATCAAATCGATATTAAGCGGACAAAACTTATCTGACTGCGTGTAAAGACGATTTTCTGGCACGGGGGAATGGAAGGAATGTCCTTTTGTGAAACGGATGACAAGCGAAACCGCTTCGGAGCATTGGTACGCGCTCAAAGTTTTCTACAATAAAGTATTCGAGATCGAAGCTTATCTGAAAGATAAGGCTTTCGAAAGTTATATCCCCCTCAAACGGTCGAGATGATGTGGCGCGGAGAGAAAAAAATCTGCCGCAAACCGGCCGTTTCTTCCCTGATGTTCGTTCGCGCGACGGAACATGCCGCGATCGGATTGCAGCGGCAGTTGAATAACCGCATTATCGTATACTGCGACCGGGATACGAAGCGCCCTGCCGCGATTCCGGAACGCGAAATGAATATCTTTAGGTTGGTGACCTCTTCGGCGATCGGGAACTGGAGTATTTCGGCGGCGAAGATACGGTTTTATCATACCGGCGACCGGGTACGCGTACCGAAGGCATCTTCAGGGCGCGGAAGGTTATATCCGGAGAATCAAAGGGACAGGCGGCTGGTGGTCTCGATAGAGGGCATCGTAGCCGTTGCCACCTCCTATATTCCGGGGTGTTTTTTAGAAAGATCTAACGCCGGATCGCCTTTTGCCGTATATTTATCGTGTTCACTCATCGCATCACAGGTGCGGACCATTGTTTTAACCGCACAAAAGAACCTTCCGGCCTGAATAAGAATTCGGCGGAGAACTTCTCTCTTTTTGGTAAAATACGTTTTACGGATGCAGCCTGGCAATAGAGTCATTTTAAATACAGCTATTTATACGCTAAAATGGTTGTTTCCATTTTAGTGGGGTTGATTTCGACCCGTTTGGTTCTTAAGGCGTTAGGAGTAGAAGATTATGGTATTTATAATCTGGTGGCAGGCGTAGTGTCTATGCTGGCGTTTTTAATACTTCATTGGCGGCGTCTACTCAACGTTTTTTATCTTTTTCTTTGGGAAAACAGGATGTTCGGCATCTTAAAAAAATATTTTACTATAGTTTAATTCTCCATATCGGCATCGGCGTATGTGTTATTTTATTAATAGAGACTGTCGGCATATACGGGATTAAACATGTCCTGACAATCGCGCCGGATAAAATAAGCAATACGCTGTCTATATTGCATTTACTGAGTTGTAGCGTTTTTTTTTCCATCGTAGCCGTTCCGTATATAGCCGTTCTCATCAGCCGGGAGAACATGCTGTTGTTATCTCTGATCGAAATTGCGGAAACCGTTCTCAAATTGCTGGGAGCGGTATATCTATTGACATATCCGGGCAACAGGCTGATCATGTACTCTGCCATCATCGTTGCCGTCATGATCATTTCGCTATTGTTGAAAATGATTATCTGTAGGATGAAATACCCCGAAACTCGTATCGTATTTCAATCATTGAACGACAGAACGCTGTTGCGCGAGTTGACTTCGTTTGCCGGCTGGTATACTTTTGCATCGGTCGGCAGTATGGGGCGGGGACAGGGAATCCCGATGATATTGAATGTGTTTTTCGGAGTGGTCGTGAATGCTGCGTACGGAATTGCCAATCAGGTCAACGGGTTGATGCAGTTTTTTTGCTACGGCCATTCTG